TTTAGTTGATTCAGCTTTAGAAGCTTCTAATTCAGCTATTTTCAAAAGTATAATCTATTTCTATAGATGTTTATGCTTATTAAATCTTGAGTTTTGTTCACACAATATTTAAAGCCATTACTATCATTAGGGACTTAGTAATTGATTGTGTCTAATCCCACTTGCTTTCTTAGTTTGAGAAAATATAAATAATTAGTAATGCCTTACATTTTTTGTTGATTTCAGAGCAGAAGAAAGAAGGAGAGCTAGAAACATCAATGATGAGAATCATCAATTGGCTACCTCCCACACATCCACACTGGGATGGAGCCTGCAATCAGGGCACGTGACCTGACCAAGAAATCGAACTCTGGCCTAGTTCATGAGTTGACGTTCAACTACTGAGCCATGCTGCCCAGCCATGCCTTACATTTTTAAGGGCTTTGAATATCTGCTCTATTATCTCAATATATAAAAGCCAAGTGACTGGAATGGCCAGTTTCTGTGATGTGCACTGTGGCCGGCCAACCAGCCTGACCGTCTGCACCCAACCCCCTCCCCCATGGCTGGCCCGGACCCAGTCCACCCCCTAGGGCCTGGCCAAATCCCACCCATGCATGAATTAGTGCACTGGGCCTCTAGTTTATATAAAGGACACAGCCACCCTCTGTTCTAATGTTTTCATTTTTACAGATTAGGGAACAGATTTAGAGGTGATGTAGCCATGGATTCACAGCCAGATAGAAACAAAAGTCTGCCTTTGAGTTCAGGTCACTTCTATTATAGCACAGCTACATTTTCAATGATAGCAGTTAAGATTTTGAGTTTTTTTGTTTTTGTTTTTTTTTTAATAAATTTTTATTGTTCATATTATTACAAATGTTCTTTCCCCCCTCTCCTCCATTGCTCTCCTCCACCAGGTTCCCACCCCACCCTCTGCCCTTTCCCCACCCCCCATTGTCCTCATCCATAGGTGCACAGTTTATGTTCAGTCTCTTCCCACATCCCCCTCTCCCCTTTTCCCCAAGAATTGTCAGTTCACTCCCCTTCCATACCTCTGATTCTATTATATTCAACAATTAATATTGTTCATCAAATTTTTTTTAAAATTTCCTTGGTTTTTAGATTCACTTGTTGATAGTTACGCATTTGTTGTTCATAATTTTTATCTTTATTTACTTTCTCTTCTGAAAGAACCCCCTTCAGCAATTCATATAATTCTGGTTTGGTGGTGATGAACTCCTTTAGCTTTTTTTTTTTTTTTTTTTTTTTTTTTTTTTAGTGAAGCTCTTTATCTGACCTTCGATTCTGAGTGATAGCTTTGCTGGATAGATTATCTTTGGCTGTAGGTTCTTACTATTCATCACCTTGAATATTTCTTGCCATTCCCGTCTGGCCTGCATGGTTTCTGTTGAGAAATCTGCTGACAATTGTACGGGTGCTCCTTTATAGGTAACTACCTGCTTTGCTCTTGCTGCTTTTAATATTCTCTCTTTATCTTTTGCTCTTGGAATTTTAATTATGATTTGTCTTGGTGTGGTCCTCTTTGGATTCCTTTTGTTTGGAGTTCTGTGCGCTTCCTGGACTTGTAAGTCTAATTCTTTCACAGGTGGGGGAAGTGTTCTGTCACTATTTCTTTCAGTTTGTTTTTGATATCTTGCTCTCTCTCATCTTCTGGGACCCCCATAATTCTGCTGTTGGTTCGCTTGAAGTTGTCCCAGAGGTTTCTTACATTATCTTCAATTTTCTGGATTCTCTTGCCTTCTAGCTTCTGTGGAGGAGTGTCTTCTGACTCTTTATGTTCCAAATCTTTGACTTGCTTCTTGCGATCTTCCATTCTGTTTTTAGGACTCTGTGTAATATTTTTTATTTCAGACAATGTATTCTTTATTTCTTATTGATCCCTTATCATTTCTTGTTGATCCTTTACCATTTCTTGTTGATCCCTTATCATTTTTTGTTGATTTCTTATTAATTCTAGTTGATCTCTTTTCATATCTTCATAGGTCTTATCGATCTTTTCTAGGAAATTCTTGAAAAACCTTATAAGCGTAGATTTGAACTCTATATCCAGTCGCTTTTTGTCCTCCATTTTTTTTGTTTGTGATCTATTTCGTTGTCGCATTTCGCAGCTACAGATGGGGCGGGGTTTCAGGGTGGAGCCTACAGCTTTGGCTTCCTTCAGTCCCGCGCTATGCGGCTCCTGGGTCTCAGGGTCCTTCAGTACTCGTTGCAAGGGCCTCTGAGAGAAAGGTGCCCTCTATTTTCGCCTGCTACCTAACAGTCTAGGCCAGGCGTCTTCAAACTACGGCCCGCGGGCCACATGCGGCCCGCAGAGGAGTCTGATCCGGCCCGCCAGGTTTTTTGGGCAGTGAGCGCAGCCGAGGTGTTATAGTAGGAATTAGTAGTTCATATAGTCCGGCCCTCCAGCTCTCTGAGGGACCGTGATCTGGCCCCCACTTTAAAAAGTTTGAGGACGCCTGGTCTAGGCTCTCCCCCAATGGCCCGGAACTGGGGTTCAGTTCAGTTGGAAGTGGGGTTGGAGGTGGCGTTCAGAGCAGTCTGGAGCTTTTGTCTCCTTTCCGCCAGGGCAATTCCGCGGCATAGCCAACCGTCCCTTCTCTGTGCACAATGTGTGCGCCGCCTGGACCTCCTTTTGCCGCTCCCCCGGGGTTCCGCCTTACAGCCCAGCTCCCTCTGGATGAGCTTGGGTCCCCGGGATCTGGCCTAGAACTGGGGTTCAGAGCAGTCGGAACTGGGGCCCAGCACAGTCGGAGCTTTAATCTCCTTCCCGCTTGGGAACGCCAGCCAGGCACTCGGCCGCTCTCCTCTCTGGCTCCGTCCTCTCCACGCGTGTCGCGTGTCTCTGTACCTTAGGCTTTTACAGCTCCTCCGCGCTTCCTTTTGGTTTTCTCCTTGCTTCTCATTGTAGATTTTCCAGTCAGTCGACTTTCCTGTAGTTCTGGGTAATGTCCATTTTATATTTTAATTGTATTTTATTGAAATTGTGTGTGGTTGCGGCTAGGTGTTTACCTGGGCAGCCATCTTGGATTCTCCAAGATTTCGAGTTTTTATTTGTAAAAGTTACTTGAAAACTTAAGCTGATACAAAGAAGGTTGAACTTAGACTCAGCTTCTAATTCTGTTTCCAACATCAACACATTCTGAAAAAGAGATAAAAAATGTGAAAATAACCCTAGCCAAGTAACTCAGTTGGTTAGAGCCATCATCCTAATATGCAGAGGTTGCAGGTTTGATTCCTGGTCAGGGCATACACAAGCATCCAATAAATGCATAAGTAAGTGTAACAACAAATTATGTTTTTCTCTCTCCCCCTCTCTCTCTCTCTGAAATCAATCCTATCTAATAAAGAGGGAATATGCTAATTGACTGTCATCCATCACAAAGATGGCTGCATCCACAGCTGAGGCCAAGTTCCCATAAGGAGCCTTAATGAGCAATCAGCCCGGACTTCAGGCTACACCCTCCCCTGCTCCCATGGGGCTTGACAGGGGACTTCAAGGTGTGGTTCTTGTCTGGTGCTGGGCTAGGGGACCTCAGGTTGCTCCCATTGCCCCAGTGCCAGGCCAGGTGACCTCAGCCTGTGCCCCCCACCAGGGGGGACTTGACATGAGGATTTCAGGCTGTCCCCTTTACCCCAGCACCAGGCCAGGGAATCTGAGGCTGCATCCCCTGCCTGATGGGGCTTGACAGGGGATCTCAAGGTGCAACCCCAGGCCAGGGAATCTGAGGCTGCATCCCCTGCCTGATGGGGCTTGACAGGGGATCTCAAGGTGCAACCCCAGTCAGGGAACTCAGGCCACACTTCCTGCCCAGTGGGGCTTGATGGGGGACCTGAGGCTGTACCCCTCTGCCTGTGGGACCTGAGGCTATGCCCCCCCTTCCAGTGCCAGGCCGGGAGACCTGAGGCTGCGCACCCCGCTTGGCAGGGCTTGATGGGGGACCTCAGGCCATGCTCCCCACCTAGTGGGGCTTTACGAGGGTGGGATTGGCCAGGTCTGGATCTAGCCCAATTGGGGGGTTGTGGGGAGAGGCCTGGTCTGGGTCACATGTGATTTTGAGGCACATGTGGGTGGACGGGGACTTGACTCTGGGTCGCATGGTATGTCCCAGACTCTGATAGGAGGAAGATTTTCATATCATTTTACTAATTTTCTTTTATCTCTGATACTTCTATTATTACAGAGAAAGGGCTAATAGCAATATTAAATTATTTCCTCTAATTAATCCCCTCTTAATATGCACGAATTTTGTGCACTGGGCCACTAGTCAATAAATAAAAATATAACACTAAGATCACTTTTTTTATTTGAATGAAGGAATATAACTATGATTGTTATATCTCAGTGTACTTGCATATACTTCTTATAAAATATTAAAAGTGGATTTATTGAAGTAATCTCCTTAGAGATTAAATGAATATGCTTTATAAAAAAAGAAATGAGGATTATTACCTGTCTTAGTTTGAACTGCTATAACAAATTGGGTAGCTTATAAACAACAAATTAATTTCTCACAGTTCTAGAGGTTAGAGTCTGAGATCAGGGTGCCAGCATGGTTGGGTTCTACTGAGGGCTCTCCTCCAGGTTGTAGACTACCAACTACTTACTGTGTCCTGACTTGACAGAGAGTTGCTAGCTTGCTGGGCTCTTCTTATAAGAGCACTAATCCATCCCATTTATGAGAGCTCTGCCCTTGTGATCTAACTACCTCCCAAAGAGCCCACCTTTAAATATCACATTGGGATTAGGGTGTCAATTTGAGGATTTGGGTGGACACAAATATTCAGTCTATTGCATTACCTATTTATTCTTAGCAGTTATATGATTTCATGCAATGGGGTAAGAAAAATTTGCCCTTTACACACTAACATTCTGTAAGTCTAAGAAATGTTTCATAATTTTATTAATATTTTGACCAAAAGCTTTTTGTTTTTTAAGACGTTTGTGGTAACTATTTATTAACAGAGTCATGGTGATTCTTTTCATTTTATTTCTTTAGTCCGAGGATCAGAAGGACTGTACATGGTGAATGGACCACCACATTTTACAGAGAGTTCGGTGCTTCCAAGGTATGGTTTATTTGAGTGATATTAGCTGAAACTATGTAATACATTCTAAATTATTTTTGTTATTGTTATATTCTGAGAAGAAGAAAAAATGGCTAGTTTCTTGAGGTATATTGTATAATATTAACAGAAATTAGAAAGAATGCATATATTCTATCAAAAAAATGGATCTTTAGATTTGAAAATAATAGCTTAAGTATGTTTAAAAGAAAAGGTGTAGACAATAATGTAATTGAGGTCAACCGCCACCTTTGAAGAATTTTGTCTTAAAGAATGAGGAAAATTTTAAAATAAAACACTTGCTTGTAATCTTAATGAAATCACAGATGAAAAAGGTATTAAAAAAATAAAGGAAAAATGAATATATCTATATAATATACAACTAAAATAGGTTTAGATGTATTTTTCCTCAAAAAGGAACAATGGGCAAACCAAAAATGAACCAAAGTGATTATCTATAGGAGGGAATAGAATTACAGGACTCAAGGGTCATGTCTGTGAATGAACTTTGGTGTAGATATAGTTTTAACTTTGGACCATGGTATTCTTTTAAATTTAAGAAAAATAATAAATGAACCTTATAAATAAGTGAACCTTTCTTTATGTTAAGTGGGTAGCATAACTAAATGATGACCTGAAAAATTCTTAAATGCATTCAATAGTTTTATGAACACAAATTGATACTATCATTTTAAATCTATTAGGATAAAACAATCATTAAGAAACCAAGATTTCCAACAAAACAGCATTTGTCAATATAAATTCATAATTTTCTAAATTTTTTTTAAATTTTTTAATTTTTATAATAAATCTTTATTGTTCAGATTATTACAGGTGTTCCTCTTTCCCCCCTCTTCCCCCATAGCTCCCCTCCACCTGATCCCCAACTCCACCCCATGCCCTTCCCCCCCCCCCCCCGCCCCTGTCTTCATCTATAGGTGTAAGATTCTTGTCCAATCTCTTCCCTCACCCCCTGAGAATTGTTAGTCCAATCCCTTTCTATGTCCCTGATTCTATTACGTTTACCAGTCCATTTTGTTCTTCAGATTTTTTATTCACTTGATTTTTAGATTCACTTGTTGGTAGATATGTATTTTGTGTCTTTTTGTTGTTTGTAATTTTTACCTTTACTTTTCTTCTTCTTCTTCCTCTCCTTAAAGAATACCCTTCAGCATTTCATGTAATCCTGGTTTGGTGTTGATGAACTCCTTTAACTTTTTCTTGTCTGTGAAGCTCTTTATCTGACCTTCAATTCTGAATGATAGCTTTGCTGGGTAGAGTAATCTTGATTGTAGGTTCTTGCTATTCATCACTTTGAATATTTCTTGCCACTTCCTTCTGGCCTGCATAGTTTCTGTTGAGAAATCAGCTGACAGTCGTATGGGTACTCCCTTGTAGGTAACTACCATAGCTGTTTTTCTCTTGCTATTTGTAAGATTCTCTCTTTGTCTTTTGCCCTTGGCATTTTAATTATGATGTTTCTTGGTGTGTCCCTCCTTGGATTCCTCTTGTTTGGGGTTCTGTATGCTTCCTGAACTTGTAAGTCTATTTCTTTTACCAGGTAGGGAAAGTTTTCTGTCATTTCTTCTGTTAAGCCTTCAATATCCTGCTCGCTCTCCTCTGGCACCCCAAAAATCCAGATGTTGGTACGCTTTAAGCCGTCCCGGAGGCTCCTTACACTATCCTCACACTTTTGAATTCTTCTTTCTTTCTGCCTCTCTGGTTGGGTGATTTTTTTCTTCCTTATATTCCAGATCTTTGGTTTGATTCTTGGGGTACGTTGATCTATAGGTGAGTTTCTGTATATTCTTTATTTCAGAGATTGTATGCTTAATTTCTGACTGGTCCTTTTCCATTTTTTTGGTATTCTCTTTAAGGTCCTTGAAGGTCTCACCAAGCTTCTTGGAGGTCTCATCAAGTTTCTCAAAGGTTTTTAGAAGATTCTTGAGTAATCTTATAAATGTGATTCTGAACACTGTGTCGTCCAGTAGTTTACTTTCCTTCATCTTTCCCATTCGTGACATGTTTCTGTGTCTCCTCATTTTGGCTGATGGAGTGGCTTTGTGTGGTAGGTGACCTATAGGGTCCAGTAGTTCAGCTTCCCCAATCACCTGAGGTGGTCGCTTTTGGTATATATCCCTTTGTGGGCTGAGTGCAAAGTCTTGGTGTAATTAAGCCTTAATTGCTGTTGGTACATTGGGAGGAATTGATCTCCAGGCCAATTGTCTGTGAGGACCCACTCCGTCTATAAAGGAAGAACTGCTGCGCTATAGACACAGTTTGTTTCAGTTGGGTTTTGGTGTTTACTGAGTCTGTCTCCTGAATGTGTCACTTATGGGTGTGAGGGGTTGAAACTGACCACTAGGAACACTGGCTTCTGGATCACCAATGGGGTACAGTTCATTTGCTTGGGACTTGTTGGTTTTGTTGCTGGAGCTTTGTTGCTGGAGCTGCAGTTTACTTCATTAAGCTGCCACAATACCAGCCATTTATATGCAAAAGCAGCAGTATGGTGCCTGGGCAGGTCTGTAGAATCTGCAGGCAAGGCCTCAGGGCAGGGTCTCAGGGCCGGGCAGGGTGGGGCGGGGTCTCAGTATGTCACTAGGTTGGGGCGTGGCTAACAGCAATGGCTGTCCCAGCCGCCACCCCCCTACCCTCCCGCGTTTCCAAGTCCCCGCTTCCCTGCAATCCAGTACAGTGAACAATGATTGCTGTGGCACACCTCTGCAAGAGTCACCCTCACTTCAGACCGATGGCCTACAGACCAGCTTCTCCCTGTAGGCGTCTGGGTCCCCCACTTGACCCCAGAAACTTGATTTCAAAGTGATAGAGAGCTTGTTTCCTTTCGGGTTGAAAAGAAAAGCCACGTGCCCAGTCGCCCACCACCAGCCCTCACTAATGAAGAGTCTGAGACAACCAGTGGTGTTAAGAGATGAGGTGGTGTCTTCATTGACTAGCTGATGCTTGGGAGCAGAAAGGGTTAGGTGAGTCTGTGAAGGCACATAATGAGTCCAGTACAATCTCAGCATCATTAAGAGTAGTATAAGGAAGCATTATAACATGGTACTTACCTTCAATGAAGGTAGAAAACAACAAAAACTGGCTCTAATCAAGCTTTTGGATGTATGGTATGGGTCTCAAATTTACTGGATATTAGAATGATATGAGGAGCTTTGGAAAAACCACATATCCAGTACTGGGTAGTAAATGATAATAAGGACTTGTTGATATTGTGAGATGAAGTGGCATGATGCTGATTATGTTTTTTAAAATGCCCTCATCACTTGGAAATGTATACTAAACTATAGTGTAAAATGGTATAAAATTTGTTTTGCTTTAAAATATTCTGGCATTGAGGAGAGAGAACCAAGATGGTGGCATAGACAAATACTGGTAATCACAGCCTTCCACAACCACATAAAAATTACATCTAAAATACAGAACAGCCATCATTCAGAACCACCTGAAATCTGGCTGAATAGAAGTTGTACAACTAGAGAAGTAAAGAAGAGAGTACATCGAGACTGATAAGAAGGGTGGAGGAGCAGAATGGGCTGGTCACCCATGTGTGGTATGTTTTTAAATGGGAGGGATATCCCCACTGCAGTGGCTTCCCATGAGAAGCACGGGGTCCCAGCCCCATAACAGACCCCCAGCCCAAGATTCCAGAGATGTCAAGTTAAGGGTCCCCATAACTTCAGGCTATAAAAACCAGTACAGATTGTGATGAGTGACACAGAAATGCTGGAACCTCGGGCAGTTCTTACATGATTCTGCTTCCTCTGAGCTCCAGTGCCAGATAGCAGCTTTGGAGGCTCCAGGGACATATGGGGAAGAACTGAGCTGACTTTCTCCCAAATGGGAGTGCTCACAGGGGTCATTGTTTCTGTGCTGGGACCTACCCTGTTACAGAGCTGTTTAGCAGCCATATCTGAGTTTCCATTAGAGTGGCCCACACTGTTTTCTCTACCCTAGTGATTCCCTGAGACCCCCACCCCATCCAATTTTCAGCCCCACTGAAGCTGTTGACAGTGGCTTTTCCATATGAATAGCCTGTTCTGGTGCAGGCTTCACACCTTGCTAAAACATCTCAAACAAGCAGCAGCAGGCATCAGCATGCCCCAAACCTATCAGTAAAAGGCCCAAGACCTGTCACTAGCACCAGCCTGTATTGCTTAACAGCTGGACCTCACCTGGACAGTTCCAAGCTCAATACAAGTAGCAGCCATCTGCAGATCCATCTGTAGCTCCTGCCAGGTGGCCTCAGGTGGCTGATTTTGCATCTCCCAGAGGACCCAGAGCCAGTGCACATAGTAGACAATTTTAGTTCATACCTAATTATAATTCTAAACAACCACAAGCAACACACTCAAGGGGCAGAATCAGTGAGCACAAAAGCCCCACTGAAACAAGTCCTGCTCTATAGGAGTGTCTCCTTTACAGAAGCTCTTCCACTCTTCCATTGGCAGCCAGTCCTCACAGCCAATTGGCCTGGAGATCAATTCCTCCCAGTGATGCTGGCAACAATCAGGGTGCACACAGCCCACAAAGGGGAACTCCTTGAGTGTCCAGCTCAGGATTCTAAGGAGGCTGAGCTACTGGGTCCTACAGGACACCAACTACACAAGGCCACTTGACCAATTCCAGGAGATGTAACAGCTCTACCTAATGCAAAGAAACAAATGAAAGAAAGAAATGGAAGCAAGCAAACTACTAGACACAGAGTTCAAAACAATGGTTATAAGTTTACTCAAGTGACTTAATGAGAGCGTCAAGGGACCTAGTGAGACATTTAAGGATCTTAGTGAGAACCTGAGACATGAAAAAGGAATAGTCACAAACAAAACATACAGTAACTAAAATAAAAAATAATTTACAGGTATTCAACATTAGAATAAAGCATCCCAAGAACCAAATCAATGGTTTAGAACAGGAGGAAGCAAAAAATTCCCAATCAGAAGAGCAAAAAGAAAAAAATAATCCAAAAATATGAAGATAGTGTAAGGAGTCTCTGGAACAACTTCAAGCATACCAACATTCACATTATGAGGGTAACAGAAATGAGAAAAGAAAGAGCAAGATATTGAAAACCTATTTGAAGGAATAATGACAGAAAACTTTCTCTACCTGGTGAAAGAAATAGACGTACAAGTCCAGGAAGCACAGAGAGTCCCAAACAACAGGAATCCAAAGAGACCCACACCAAGACACATCATAATTAAAATGCCAAGGGATAGAGACAAAGAGGATTTTAAAAACAACAAGAAAGAAGTAGTTAGTTACCTACAAGAGAGTGCCCGTACAACTGTCACCTTATTTCTCAATAGAAACTGCAGTCCAGAAGGGAGTGGCAAGAAATATTCAAAGGGGTGAATTGTAAGGACCTATAACCAATATTACTCTACCAAGAAAAGCTCTATTTTAGAATTGAGGGTCAAATAAAGAGCTTTACAGACAAGAAAAAGCAAAAGGAGTTCATCAAAACAAAACCAGTATTACACGAAATATTGGAGGGTATTCTTTTAAGAGGAAAAAGAACAACAACAACAACAAAAAAGAATATGAATAACAAAATGACCATAAATACAGTTGAATCTAAAAATCAAAATAAGAGAACATGAAATCAAATGAACAAAATAAATGTTAATTAAATAGAATCAGAGGCATGGAAATATGGAACAGACTGACAAATCTCAGAGGTACATGAGGAGGGGAGACAGTAAGAGATTAACCAGTTATTTTATATGCATATATGCATTGCCTATGGACACAGACAATAGGGTGGTGAAAGCCTGGGGCAGGGCAGGAACCATGTGGAGGGGGCCATTGTGGGAGGTGGGGAAATGGGGACATCTCTAACACTCTTAAAAATAAAGATTTTATTTTAAATTAAAAATATTTGGCATTAAATATAAAGGTAGGGAGTAAATAAAATAAAATTGGCCATGAGTTAATTATTTAAGTTTGGTGATAGACACATGGGTGCATTATCATACTCTTTCTCTTTTTTGTGTGTATATATTTAAGTTTTTCATTTAAAAGATTATACCAGAAGGCCCTAGTGAGTTTGGCTCAGTGGATAGAGCATCAGCCTGTGGACTGAAGGGTCTGGGGTTTGATTCCGGTCAAGGGCACATATCGGGGTTGTAGGCACAATCCCCAGTAAGGGGGGTTGAGGAGCAGGAGGCAGCCAACAAGTGATTCTCTCATCATTGATATTTCTATCTCTCTCCTTACCCTTCCTCTCTGAAATCAGTAAAAAAACGTTAAAAATAAATTATTATATTACAAAGAAATAGACAAAATTTCCCAATTGCCAAGATTGAAAAAATAATTCTGAATTCTGTAATCTAGTAAGTTTCCTTTCAACCTTAAACACTATTCTAGAATAAGTTATTAAAAGGACAATTTATAATCATGATATAAAGGGCTGATTATTAGAATTAAAATAAGCTTGCTAAGAATAAATTGTTTTAAGTTTAACTCATTTCCTTTCTGAGTAGAATTTCCAGACACATCAGAATAGAACTATGAACATGATTTTGGCAAAGTATCTGAGAAATGATAGTCTTTTTGTTGTAGTTAATCCTCATTCAAGGATATTTTTTCCATTGAGTTTTAGAGAATGCAAGGGTAGGAGGAGAGACAGTAAGAGAAACATCAGTATGAGAGAGACTCATCAATTGGTTACTTTCTGAATGCCCCTTGACCAGGGCCAGGGATCAATCATGCAACTAAGGTATGTGCCCTTGACTGGAATTTAACCTGGGACCAGGTCTGCGGGCCAACGCTCTATCCATTGAGCTAAACCAGCTAGGTCAACAAATTTTTTTAATTATATGACAGTTGTCTTTGGTTAAGAGCTATGAAATCAGCTGATTAAAGAGTTGATTTTAGTTTGAGGGAAGGACTGTTGGTGAACCACAGGATCTTGAGAGCTCATTCAGCATTCTTAATACTTAATTTAAATGATAGCTTAGAATGATGTTTTATACTTTATACATTCCATAAAGTTGTAAGGAATAACTAGTGTCTTAAAAAAAAAAAAATCAAGATGTAAATACATCTCTGTAGGCTGGAATAATAGACCCAAATCTGTGTGGAATTGACTATGATAATTGTAAAGTTCCGCCTTAAGATTCAGAAATGATTTTTGCAATATAGGATGAAGGACATCTTGGTCATAGCTGTTTATTGTAAGAGATAAAAAATATATATTTTTAAAATATATTTTATTGATTTTTTTGTACAGAGAGGGAGAGAGATAGTTAGAAACATCGATGAGAGTCATCGATCAGCTGCCTCTTGCACACCCCCTACTGGGGATATGCCCGCAACCAAGGTACATGCCCTTGACTGGAATCGAACCCGGGACCCTTAAGTCCCCAAGCCGACGCTCTATCCATTGAGCCAAAATGGTCTCGGCAAGAGATAAAAAATATTTTGGTAACCACAAAATGTGTATAAGCTGTCATTACTGTGTGATTGCAGAAACACAAATGTCATGTTCAGATGAATTAATACAAAGATAATATCTTATTTAAAAGGGGTGTAGTAAGTTTCCATGCACTGTTTAATAATTCAAATATTTATTAGCCATAAAGTTCTATTTTAATGTTGTGACTAACCATGTACACACATACAATTTCTGTTTGGATCCTCACTATCTAACTGGGAAATCATAGTAGCAATGTCCAGTTGAGAGATACAGTACTTAGAGCACATGTGTCAAACACAAGGCCCGCGGGCCAAATCCGTCCCGCCAGGCCTTGCAATGTGGCCCGCACCACGCTGTCATCACTGCACTCCGCTGCGTTTCCATCACAATGACAGTTTATGACTGTTCAGTAAACCATTCGGCCCGCGATTTAGGCTGGATTTTAGATTTTGGCCCCTTCTCTGATTGAGTTCGACACCCCTAACTTAGAGTGTTGACCATTTGGTAGAATATTGCCAAGAAGTCAGTGTTTTCTGCAGAATCCTGCATCTGCATTTATTTAATGTGAAGATCATAATGTTATATTTTCTGTCTCTACATATTAAATCCAGGGGCTTAGCCACTTGAGGATATTCTATTCACCATTTTTTTTTATGCAAGTGGTCTGGTCTGGGACATTCTTCACAAAGTCTACCTTTTGAAATCCTTCACCCTCTCAGTTTTAGGGCTGATAGCTGAAACTTCTACATTAATTTACACTTTAGGGTTGTCACACAAACTAGATATTCATCCTAAAGAGCTTTTTCCCTCCCTTAATATTGACCTGTTGGTATAAAATAAATTTCCAGCTTACTTTACAGAGTTTGTTGAACCTGCATTTTAAGAAATAAAGTATTTTGATAGACAAAAGCATTTGGAATTATTTTCTAAATTTATATATGTTCTTAGTTATTAAATTAGTAGTAAGATTGTGAATTTTTAATCAGTTGTTTTTTTAAGTATTAATGTTTACTAGCTTAAACTTTTGTTTATTGTCCTTTTCAGGGAATCTGGAAAAAATTGCAAAGTCTATACCTTTAGTAAGGATGGGACCTTGTTTGCCTGGGGCAACGGAGAGAAGTTAGTGTTCATTTATATAAAATTTTATGTATGTGTCATGAATGTGAAACATAACCAGCATTATTAGAGTAATATATATTTGGGTGTCATTAATAAAGTCCATCTTTTGATGTCATGATACAGTTAGGTATTACCTCCAACATAACTTCCCTGGCCTACCTCCAAAGTTGTTAGCTTATACATATATGCCTGATTCATTTGAATTATCTAATTACTTATAATTTAAAATTAACATATGAGAAAGGGCAATTAATTTAATGCTGAATAACCTGAGAGGTTGTTTTAAATAGTGCTTTCAGTTATTGATTGGGTTTTTTTAAGTTCCACACTAACACTTAAAAAATAATTCTTGCTTGTTTATCTAAGTACTAGAAGCCTGGTGCATGAATTCGTGCACAGGAAGGGTCCAGCTGGCCCGCCCTGATCAGGGACAATTGGGCTGGGCCAGCAGGAGGGAAAGGGACGCGAGGGAGGTGGGAAGGTATGCGGGAGGTTGGCCAGCAGCACTGCCCAGATTGATGTGGGGGGGGCTGATCAAGGGCGGAGCCAGTCTGGGGGAGAGACCAGGAGTGGTTGGCCAGCTGTCTTCACCACCTGGTCAAACTCCTGGTTGAGGAGACAATTTGCATATTAGCCTCTTATTATATAGGATTTGTAAAGCATTAAAAAATATGTTTAATGTAATCTATATTAATATAAACAAAGTGATCAAAAGTATGTTTAGCACAGCCTATACTAATAATAGCCTAGGTGGTATCACGCCCCCATGTCATCACAAGATGGTCATCACAAGATGGCTGTACGCACAGCAGAGGTGGGGCCTGGTAGCCACTTTGAACAGTAATACCTTGGGGTCCCACAGCTCTACGGGGTGCGAAGGAGGCTGGTCCCAGCATCTCCACCACCTCTACTGGAGGAGGCGGGTCCTGGAGAAGCAGGCGGCGGTCGCTGCAGGGAAGGCCAGTTGTGGGTGATCAGACCAGCAGGGGGGTGGTTAGGGGCAATTAGGCTGGCAGGCAGAAGCAATTAGGGGCCAATCAGGCAGGTAGGCAGGTGAGTGGTTAGGAGCCAGCCATCCTGGATTGTGAGAGGGATGTCCGACTGCTGGTTATCCTCTGAGGGGGTCCCAGATTGGAGAGGGTGCAAGCTGGGCTGAGGGACACCCCCACCTAATATATGAATTTCATGCACCAGGCCTCTAGTATTACATAAAATAATCAGATTATAAAATTGATCTTGCAAAAAAAGTATTTTGATTAAATGCTCATATTTTACTAAGAAAACTAGTCATTTTGATTTTTTCCAGAATCAATATAAAATGTTAGTTAACAGAATCAGAAAGCTGCCCAAGTATTTGTTGCTTGGTTTGAAGTTATTTTGTTGTTGTTTTTAACCAGATATATTATCTTAGTGTGTGTTTTTTTTAATGGGGAAAATACATACATTAGTTCCAAAAGTACATTTTAAATGATTTTACACATTAGTTCCAAAAGTACATTTTAAATGATTTTACTATCAGACAGCATCAAAGAAAATGAAGTCTTTCAACTATCAGGTCAGATTGAATTAAACACGTTTTTGAAAAATTAATTTTAAAAAGATTGTATTACATTAGTTGATTCACTTTTTATGACTATAAGCTGGCAGAATTAGCTTTTATTATTAAAAATTTTAATCAGTTTTTTTAATTTAAGTTATTAAATCCAACCAAAAAACTACTCTCAAATTATTATTAAGTATATAATCATGTTGAGTTTTGTCTACAATGTTGACAACCTTAATCTCAGATTCAATGAAAAATGTGCTCTCAAGATTTTATTATTTATTTTATTTATTTATATTTTGGTGAACCTGTTGTGGATATTTGGCTTTTATTTTTTTAAATCAATATTTTAATTTATGCTATTTAAGTAATGAGTTCATAGAAATTTACTGCCTAATGGGACTTACCATGCTTCTTTTCATTGTCTGTTATCTTTCTGTGATAACCCTTACCTGTTATCTTAGAGTTTATTAAACAAATCTGTTTTTACCTTAGTAGTTATTATAATTATTTTATCTATTTCACATCTCCACTTGGCTTTCTGTTGGGTTCAACTCGGAATATTATTTATTTGTTTGTTTGTTTGTTTGTTTTTTAATTTCTGTTTAAAAAAATTTTTTATTGATTTTTTATAGAGAGGAAGAGAGAGGGACAGAGAGTCAGAAACATTGATGAGAGCGAGTCATCATCGATCAGCTGCCTCCTGCACACTCCCTACTGGGGATGGTCCCGCAACCAAGGTACATGCCCTTGACTGGAATCGAACCTGGGACCTTCAGTCCTCAGGCCAACACTCTGTCCACTGAGCCAAACCAGTTTCGGCTTTTTTATTTTTTTAATATTTAAAAAAATATAGATTTTTATTGATTTCAGAAAGGAAGGGAGAACACTAGCCGGGCATCAACTCTGAATATTTAAAAAAATATATATATATTTTATTGATTTTTTACAGAGAGGAAGAGAGAGGGACAGAGAGTCAGAAACATCAATGAGAGAGAATCATCGATCATCTGCCTCTTGCACTAGGGATTTGCCCGCAACCAAGGTACATGCCCTTGACCCGAACCGAATCTGGGACCTTTCAGTCCTCAGGCTGACACTCTGTCCACTGAGCCAAACCGGTTTCGGCAACTCTGAGTATTTTTAAATATATCTCCATATGTTATGTCCATCTCTCTAATAGATATTTTCTGTACCTGGATCTAGCATTTATTTTCTTAAAGTGCTGTGGCTTAAAGACATATCATGTTCCTGGGGCAGGAAAAACATTATGTAGTATATATGGTCTTTGCTGAATTCGTGGTTAACTAAGTCAGAAACTCTAGGTGATTTTTTCTTAAATATATAATTAAAAAAAAAAATTTAAAATAAATACCCTTCATTAAACATTCTAAGATAACTTATTCAAGTTTATCAACTACAAAAAAGAAAGTTTTATGTATGCTAAAATATGAAATTCACAATAAGTTGTAAAAAATCTCATGTGTCTGTGTTAAAACAATATGCAGTAATCTTGCATCCTTACCAATTTCTGCTTATCCTGATGCAGTGCCCTCAATAAGGAATTTCTGGAATAAAATGGATTCTCTCTCTCTCTCTCTCTCTCTCTCTCTCTCTCTCTCTCTCTCTCTCTCCCTTTAACCCCAAAGAATACAAAATAGCAAGTCACTAAGCTGGTTTTAAAAGTTAGTTCTGACATTTATCAGTAGTATGATTTTGGGCAAATCATCAAATCATTTAATTTTTCATCAAATCAGTTTCACCATTTGTAAAATTGAAATGATAATATCTATTTTATAAGGTGTTGTGAGGACGAAATAAGAAAATGTGCATTAAGTGATTAGATTAGAACAGGGTATATAGACAGCATCAAAGAAAATGGAGTCTGGTACAATTATTCTAATATTTATCATTATCATACCAAAATAACTCTTACAGTCTGTCTTTTCAAGACTTGTAAAATTTTATGAGACTGACGCGCTACCTACTGTGCTAACGAGGCACCTTGTAAAATTTTAATTGGCATCCAAAGTCTCTGCTGATTTCCTCAGGGGCTACTCAGTTTTTAAAATATACTTTTTCTGCCCAGCCAGTGTTGTTCAGTGGTTGAGCAACAACCCAAAAACCAAGAGGTCACTGGCTCAATTCCCAGATAGGACACATTCTTGGGGTGGAGGCTCCATCCCTACTGGTAGGGGCAGAGCATGCAGGAAGCAGCTGGTCAGTGTTTCTTTTTTTCATTAATGTTTCTATCTTTCTATTCCTCTTCCTCTTTCACTAAATATCAATAAAAACATACTTTTTCTGTGCGACGTGAGAACTCAGAAAGAAGGCAGTTTTTTATACAATGATTTTCACCAGAAACCTAAGCTTCTAGCACCTTCATCATGGACTTTTGAGGCTCCAAACTTTAAGAAATAAATGTTAGTTAAGCCAACAATAAAAATTAAAAATTAAATAAAATAATGCTTTTGTTTTAGCACCTCTGTTTTCTTTTTGGTTTGATATACATCTTGTCTTTTAATTGAACAGGTAGCTCTGTTCAATTAAAATTCTGTTATGATTGTATCTTTCTATTAATTGCATATAATTTCTAAACACCTTATAGAGGGGCCTTTTGTGTGTACTTTTTTTCAGTTAAGGTGTTTATTGGATATTTTGTAGAACTAACTGAAAATTGATTTTATGAAAAATAGACACTTAAGGAGTGATTTATATTTGAAAGAGTTAAATGTTTTTGGTGGTGCTGGCAATTGTGAAACAGTATTTTGTTGCTGAAGTAATTTCTTTTGAAACCAGAATAAATATTATCAATGTCACTAACAAGGGACTACTGCACTCCTTCGACCTCCCTAAGACAGTTTGCCTTGAATTCTCACCAAAAAACACTGTCCTGGCAACGTGGCAACCTTACACTAGTAAGTATTTTCCAATTATAAAAATATTCTAACAGGCCCAATTTAATTCATTGGGGGAAAAATGAGAATTTATAACTCACAAGAAAGTAATTAGTCTTTATGATAGTAAATAGCATATATAGGAATCTTGTATTCCCCAATTATAATATACTTTAAATAATTGCAAGGTATAGTAAGTTAGTGAAAAGATGCATCATGAAATAGAGCAAAAGAAAAAGCCAAGGGAAATTTTAGAAAGTAAATAACACTGGATAGAGAAGATCTCAAAAATTAATAATAATAATAACCTTCAAAATAAAAGCATTTAAAAATGTTTTTATTGATTTCAGAGAGAGGAAGGGAGAAGGAGAGAGAAATAGAAACATCAATAATGAGGAGAATCATTGATGAGCTGCCTCCTGCACACCCCCCCACTGGGGATCAGGCCTACAAGCTGGGTATGTGCCCTGACCAGGAATCAAACCCTGACCTCTCCTGATTCATAAGTTGATGCTCATCCACTAACCTACGTCAGCTGGGCCATGTTTCTTTTTTTAGTAGATAACTTTGAGTGCTCATATACCAGACACTGTGTAAATATTTGTTTTCATCATCTTACTAAATTTTTAAATAATGAGTATCTGAATCTAGAATATGTTTCTTAAAATAAACTCTGATACCAATTCCCAGTATTTTATTATTCATCTATGAAAAACAGCTATATAAAATGTTCACATAACGTATATCTCTAAAAGTGTTTGACAATGGCACACCATTATTCTTTGTCATACCATACACATTTCTTAGATGTTGAATCTACTGTACTTCCTTTTCATTTATAACGATTATTTAAAATGTTTATTTTAGCTGGCCCTTGTTGCTCTGTGGTTGAGTATCAATCAATGAACCAGGTTGCAGGCTGGATCCCCAGTGGAACACGTGCAGGAGGCAGCCAATCAATGAGTCTCTCTCATCCTTAGTGTTTCTGTCTCTCCCTCTCCCTTCTCTCTGAAATCAGTAAAAATGTATAAAAATCAATCAATTAAAATAAATAAGAGAAAATGTGTTCTAATTATATGGATATTAAGCAAAATGTTACAATAGTTACTTGTTCAATTGTAAACCTCTTGAATGTGTTCTTCCAAGAGGCATGGACTCTAATGAATCTTCTTTTTCCAAGTAAATAAAAGGGAAATTGAAAATCATGAGTTATATAATTCTATGTGTGTGACTTATAGATACAAGTTTTCATATAACACAATTTAATCTACTTAATAGTAAACCTCACTAAACAAGAAATCTCTTTTAAATATTCTTAAAATCCTTAGTAATGAACTCATTTCAGAAATGCTGAACTTTTGCTCAAACAACTGTCATATTGTTATGGCTTTAGGATTGGGTGAGTAAATCCATATTAAAGATAGTGGGGGAAATTGTTTTAAAACAACTCTCTTATGATCTTGTTCAAATTGTTTCTAAAAATTACATCTTTTTTACTAGTGTTAGGAGACAATTACTATAAAAAAATATTATTTTTACTTCAGCTTCTAAAGATGGCACAGCTGGGGTTCCCAACCTACAACTTTATGATGTGAAAACTGGAACATGTTTGAAGGCTTTCATCCAGAAAAAGATGCAAAATTGGTAAGTAAATGTTTTAGAATACTTATTATTTACAAAATATTTTAAATATCTTCATTGTTATAATACTTGTTTCTTTGGTATTGGTTTAGAAAATAACTTCTCAGACAAAAATCTAGATCTATTAAGAAATTTATATATAGGAATGTAATAAACACTTGATCTTTCTTTTGTTTATTATTTGTCTATTATATATATATTATATCTACTGACTAAAACTATTAGTAACTGACTTCAACATCATATTATAAGTATTTTTCCTTAAATAGTAACAATATTACAAACTTTAACATGTTTGTTACATTCTATTTAAATTTTTTTATATTTTCTTTTCCATGTAGGTGTCCATTCTGGTCAGAAGATGAAACTATTTGTGCCCGAAATGTTAACAATGAAGTTCATTTCTTTGAAAATAACAATTTCAGTATGGAAAAAATTTATTATTTACTATAAATGTATATAATTTTTATTGTTTTATATGTATCATAGCGTTCTCTAAAATACTGTTAATATATTAATACATTGCTGTATATTTTTATACATACTATATGTAAGCATAAAATGTATTAAAATTACTATTATAGTTATTCATATGAATAACATAAACACTAGTGAAATTTTATAACCAAAAATTTTCTTTTATAATAACTTCTTATTCCCTAAATTTCTATTCAACCAAGACATTTTAAATATCTCTGTATTTATTTGTTATTGAAATTCTGTGATACAAATGAATGTTTTATTGTATAGAATTTGAAACACAAAATTAGACACCTAGTCCTAATAACCATAAACTCATTGCCAGTCCTATCTTATCCATCTGTCCATCTTCCATCCCTCTTACTCTGCTACAACAAATCCTAGAGATCATATAATTTTACCAATAAGTATTTCAGTATGTATCCCAGAAAGATTAGGACTCTTAAATTTTTTATAACTTAGCCAAAAGACCATTATCCCAGACTATAAAATATCTGTTCAATGTTAAATTTCTAATAATCACAAATGTTATAGTTATTTTAAAACTTATGATCCAAATAAGGTTTTTCACATTGCAATTGACTGATATATCTTTTAAGTTTTTTTTTTTTTTTTTAAGCTACTGATTCTCTCCATCTCTTTTTCCCTCTTGCAGTTTGTTACTTGTCCTATATATTTTCCCATAGTTTTAATTGTGTCCCATCCTGTAATTTAACTTGTTCATCTGTCCCCTATTAGTAGTAACTCATTTGGATCTAGAGTTGGTCAATTTTAGCATCTTTTCTGGGAGAGATGAGGGTAGTAAGCCTATATCATAAGACAGTATTGAATTATTTTATCAAGAAGCACATACTGTCTTACTCTCTTTAATTGTGTAGGTTTAACTCACATTAACATTCAGTGTCTAGATCCATTATTTCATGAGTTGTTGCAAATCGGTGATATTCTGATTATCTTCCTCCCCTCTTATTTATTAGCTGTATTACATCTATAAAGAGAAATTTTCTCATCTACTATTTGGTTGCCTATATATAGGAAAGGCAGGATCAATATTCTTTTCTTTTATCACTTTTGAAATAATGAGTTCTTTCTCTGGCAATCTTCATTGCAACCAATTGTTCCCCTGCCCCACTCCCCATCTTTATGAACTATAAATTTAAACATGTTTCTAGCCATTTCAATTATTATTCTTTTTTTAAATATATTTTATTGATTTTTCACAGAGAGGAAGGGAGAGAGATAAAGAGCAAGACACGTCGATGAGAGAGAAACATCGACCAGCTGCCTCTTGCACCCCCCCCCCCACAGGGGATGTGCCCGCAACCAAGGTGACCGGATGTGACCGGAATCGAACCCGGGACCTTTCAGTCCGCAGACCGTTGCTTTACCACTGAGCCAAACCCATTTCGGCTATTATTCTTTTTGATGCTCAAATTATCCCTTGATTGGTCAATTAGTTGTTGATGACTATTTTGCTATATGGTAAGACAAGCTGTTCTGAGACTACTGTGTTTATTATTTCCTGCTATATATCTAGAATCAGTCTGGTTTCTTTGAGTGGAAAATGGTAATTAGAGACCACAATATAGGAATATATAGGGTTACTTATTACTATTGTGTTGATCATTGTTTTAGGCCTTTTTCTTTCTTTTTTATCTTACATATGTATTGCCTTTTGCCAATACCAGGCATCCTGGTTCTCTGGAATTTCATTTGCTTTTTTTTCCACATGAACCACATAATATTCTTAGAATAACAATACCAACAGTAATACCAATAATGTAATTACTGAATAATTCAAAGAAAAGTTTTGCACTTTCTTTTGTCCTTAGGGTATCCCATTAGTGACTGTACACTTTTGAGTTTATTACAATAGAGGAGGATTTGGTAACTACATTCACATATAACAAAGTTGGCACTGTTCTTGTTATCTTTATAGCTTTACACTTCATTATCTTACTTTTGAGTCTCATTTCAGCCCTCACTGATTTTGGGTTCACTTGCTGGCTTATCTTGCCTTCCTCTTTGTGAGCATGCCAAAAGAAGGAGGCTTCAATTTGGCAGTTTGGTGTACTACTTTTGAAGATCTGAATTTGAACAAAGGAAGAATAACAGTTCTTGATCCCATTAACTAGGGAAGCAGTATTATTCATAACATGAATTCTGACTGCCTGGCACAGAGTTAGAACTAAAAAAAAATGTCCACCGCCGAAACCGGTTTGGCTCAGTGGATAGAGTGTCAGTCAGCCTGCGGACTAAAAGGTCCCAGGTTCGATTCCAGTCAAAAGGGCATGTACCTTGGTTGCGGGCCCATCCCTAGTAGGGGGTGTGCAAGAAGCAGCTGATCGATGACTCTCTCATCGATGTTTCTGACTCTGTCCCTCTCTCTTCCTCTCTGTAAAAAATCAATAAAATATATTTAAAGAAAACAATGTCCACCATTGTTACTCTTGTGATCATTATTGTCATGTAATTAGTTATAGAATATCAGTATCCACATATTACATTAGGCTAAAGTAATCTTCCCATCTAATGGGCTCTAAAACTACTTTATTTCAGAAGTTGAAGGGAACTGATGTTTATTAAATACTATGTGCCTGATACTGTCCTCTTAAAAATCAATCACTAGGAACTAGGTGTATAATCTCATTACTTGCCCAAACTCACACAGCTAATAAGTGACTAAGCAGGAATTCAAGTGTAAGTCTGTCTACTCCCACCCATGCTTTTTCCACTACTTTGCTATGCCTCATCTATATGAGACTACAATTAGCAGTATTTTTCTTTTAATATAATATTTTATTGATTTTTCACAGAGAAAGAGAGAGGGATAGAGAGTTAGAAACATCGATGAGAGAATCATCGATCAGCTGCCTCTTGCACACCCCCTACTGGGGATGTGCCCGCAATCAAGGTACATGCCCTTGACCGGAACTGAACCCGGGACCTATCAGTCTGCAGGCCGACGCTCTATCCACTGAGCCAAACCAGTTTCGGCTACAATGAGCAGTATTGTGTATAGTTACACTAACCTTTTAAAATGCATTCAGAATTTAGCATTCACTATTAGCATCTCTCATCAATCTAACATCTTTTCCTTTTTTCTTAGATACAACTGCAAATAAATTGCATTTGCAAAAAATTAATGATTTTGTGTTATCACCTGGACCCCAACCATACAAGGTAATGGCTGTTTTTGTTTGCTTATGTGGAATATTATAAGATTAACTTTTTTCTTAGGTTTTAGTGATATTCATCTTAGTTTATATGCTTCATAAATTAAATTATTTATTTCTGTGTATCATAGGTGGCTGTTTACGTTCCAGGAAGTAAGGGTGCACCTTCATTTGTTCGATTATATCAGTACCCCAACTTTGATGGGCCTCATGCAGCTTTAGCCAATAAAAGTTTCTTTAAAGCAGATAAGGTTACAATGCTATGGAATAAAAAAGGTATGATAAGTATATTTTCTCTCATTTTGTTTATCAAGTATTGATTTAGATTTGATTCCTTTGTGTATAGGAGAATGTATCAATGCTTATTTAATTAACTTTTCATGACTCTTATATTATTTAATATATTTTTTATCACCATTAGATTAATTTGTGTTTTAAATCTAATTTAAATTTTTACTGTTACAGCTACTGCTGTGTTAGTAATAGCTAGTACAGATGTTGACAAGACAGGAGCTTCCTACTACGGTGAACAAACGCTGCACTATATTGCAACAAATGGAGAAAGTGCTGTGGTGCAATTACGTGAGTATTTCAGCCATCTTCCTTTGATAAAAAACAGGGACAGTGAAAAAGATGATATAGCCCAGCTGGCCTGGTTCAGTAGGCATATGCAATAAATATACCAGAGATGCCCTGGTGGATGTAGTTCAGTGGTTGGAATATCAGTCCCCACGCAGATTCCTGATGAAGGACATATACCCAGATTCAGTTTCAATTCCCCGCTATGTCAATGTGCTTGTGGGAGGCAACAAATCATTGTGTCTTTCTTTCCCTCTCTTTCTCCCTTTTTCCTCCTTCCTCCCTCCCTTCCACTCTATCTAAAAATCAGTGGAAAAAATACTATTGGGTGAAGATTAACAAAAAAAGAAATATGCCAGAGTTTTGCCTTTAGTGTAGAGGGGTTTATTTTTGTGGTGTGTCTTTTTAAATAGCTCATATTTTTGTTACTATAATATATGCATGTACTATTGTACTACCTAGTTCAATAAAAACTAGTTGTTAATAAATAGTAGTAATAACTTATGCTACTGTGAGTCCACATTACCAAAATTAAAAAAAAAATGAAGGTTTATTAGGGATTCTTAAATTTATGATTATACATTAATTTTTATATTTTTTATGTCATGAAAAATATTTTAATTTCAACATACCATGAAATTTTTGAGGTTTTTTTTGTTTTGTATTTTTACTCTGACATGTTTGTTATGTGCTTATAATTAGTGCTAATAAATCTTATGTTCATATAATTATTGCTAATTTGGTTTTATATTATTTTCCAGCAAAAAGTGGCCCCATCTATGATGTGGTTTGGAATTCTAATTCTACTGAGTTTTGTGCTGTTTATGGTTTTATGCCTGCCAAAGCAACAATTTTCAACTTGAAATGTGATCCTGTGTTTGACTTTGGAACTGGTCCTCGTAATGCAGCCTACTTTAGTCCTCATGGGCATATATTAGTACTGGCTGGATTTGGAAATCTGAGGGGACAAATGGAAGTCTGGGATGTTAAAAACTACAAACTTATTTCTAAACCAGTGGCCTCTGATTCTACATATTTTGCTTGGTGCCCAGATGGTGAGCATATTTTAACAGCTACATGTGCTCCCAGGTTACGTGTTAATAATGGGTACAAGATTTGGCATTACACTGGCTCAGTCTTGCACAAGTATGATGTGCCAGCAAATGTGGAATTATGGCAGGTTTCTTGGCAGCCATTTTTAGATGGAATATTTCCAGCAAAAACAATAACTTACCAAGCTGTTCCAAGTGAGGTACCCAGGGAAGAACCTAAAACTGCAACAGCTTACAGACCCCCAGCTTTAAGAAATAAACCAACTACCAACTCCAAACTGGTAAGTCAAATTTACTACTTTAATGGGAAAACATTTTCCAGTGTTTTCTAGACCTTTTCTTTCCTCAGGCATGCTTATCTTCCATAGTACCTGATGAGAACATAAACCCCTCGAGGGATGCTTGACTGCCTGTTTAGGCCTAATCGGGCCTAAATGGGCAGTTGGACATCCTCTCACAATCCAGGACTGCTGGCTCCTGACCACTTGCCTGCCTGCCTGCCTGATTGCCCCTAACTGCTTCTGCCTGCCAGCCTAATCATCAATAACCACTCCCCTCCCAGCCTGGTTGATGCTAACTGCTACCCTACAGGCCCGATTGCCCCTACCTCCCCTCCCATGCCAGCCTGCTCACTCTAACTGCCCTCCCCTGCCAGACAGGTTACCCTTAACTCTCCTCCCCTATAGGCCTGGTACCCTCCAACAGCCCTCCCCTGCAGGCCTTGTTGCCCTTAACTGCCTTCTTCTGCTGACCTGGTCACCCCTAACTGCCCGCCCCTGCTGCCCTGCTCAATTCTAACTGTTCTCCCCTGCTGGCCTGGTTCCTCTCAACTGCCTTCCCCTGCTGGTCTGGTTCTCCCCAACTGCCCTCTCCTGCAGGCCTGGTTCTCCCCAACTGCCCTCCCTTGCAGGTCTGGTCCCGCCCAACTGCCCTGCACTGCAGGCCTGGTCTCCCCTAACTGCCTTCTCCTGTGGCCTGGTCATCCCTAACTGTCCTCCTATGCTGGTCTGGTTCTTCCCCCCCCCCCCCCCCCCCCACAAATGCCCTTCCCTGCAGAACTAGTCACCCTCACTGTCCTCCCCTGCAGAGCTGGTCACCCCCAAGTGCCCTCCTCTGCCAGCCTGGTCACCCCTAACTGCCCTCCCCTTCAGGCCTGTTTGCCCCCAACTGTCCTCCCTTACAGGCCTGGTACTTCCCAATTGCCCTCCACTTCAGGCCTGATCACCCACAACTGCCCTCCCCTGCAGGCCATCTTGGGGCGGACATCTTGTGTCCACATTGGGGCAGCCCACTTGTGTGTTGCAGTGGTGGCCAATTTGCATATTACCCTTTTATTGGATAGGACTAGCGGCCTAGTACACAGATTCGTGTACAGGTGGGTTCTGGCTGACCCAGCCCCAATCGGGGTGGATCAGGGTCGGGCCTGTCAGGAGAAGACAGCAGGAGGTTGGCCAGCCAGCCCACCTTGATCAGAGCCTGATCAGGATTGGGCCAGCTGGGGGAGGGGCCACAGGCAATTGGCTGGTTGACCCATCCCCATTTGGAGGGGACAGGTTGGGGGAGGGGCTGGCTGTAGGGAGGGGCTATGGACCGGCTAGCCCCCCACTGAAGGTGTGGAAGACTGATTGGGGTTCATCAGCCAGGGGAGGATCTTTGGGAGGTTTTCCAACCACTCCCACTCCCCTGCTATGGGGGGACAATAGGGGATAGAACTTGCTGAGGGGGTGGGGGGGAATGATTGGGGGTGGTTCCAGTCCTGAGGAAAGTCTGTGAGCGGTGGGCCAGTCCACCCTGCCCCCATTATAGATGGGGGGGGTAATTGGAGGCCAGTGGCCTGGGGGAAGGGCCATGGGTAATTGGCCGGTGGCCCTGCCCCTGATTAGAGTGTGGGGGCCAAGAGGGGGCGGAGCTGGCTGGGGGAAGGGCTGTGGGCCAATCAAGGTGGTGGAGGCCTATTTGAGACGGGGCTGGTTGGGGGAGGGTCTGCAGGCAGTTGGCCGGCCTGTCCCACCCCCTGAACGAGCCTGTTCACTAGCTGTAGTGGGCATCATAGCAACCGATCATTTCGGTCATTACAGCATTATGGTTGCTGGCTTTTTATATATTTAGATAGTGCCATCTTCTCCATTAGATGCTCCTCAATCCTAAACTTAATTCACCCTCTTTCTGTTGTGAATTAATAGTTACATAAATATCCGGTGATGGAAATGACTATTTTCATTGTATAGTCTGACTAGTTTCTTAGTTTTTTATAGACCACTTCATGATGTTAATCATAGATTTAAAATTATGAATTTATAATTATTCCTTCCTATTGTATTTTATCTATTTTTTATGTCTTTTGTAGGTTTTCTATTTGCTTTTATTTTTAGTCTTCTAATCTGATTTTGCAAGTAAAGATCTAGCAAATAATTCTTAGTTCAAAGAAAATAAATGAGAAATTGGGTTTCTGTTTGCAGTAGTCAGATCCAAAACTATTCCAGAAGAAGCTATTTAATTTCAGAAGGGTCATATGTCAGTAGTAATACAAAAAAAAAAAAAAAAAAAAAAAAAAAAAAAAAAAAATTCCAGCCTTGGCCACATGGCTCAGTTGGATGGAGCATTGTCCCATATACCAAAAGTTGGTGAATTCAGTACCTAGTCAGGGCACATACAGGAGTTAACTGATCAATGTTTCTCTCTCCCTCCCTCCTTTCTTCTCTGTAAAAATCAATTTTAACAAATTGAAGTAAATAAATTCCATTGTGTAAACAAAATTGAATTTTTCAAGTTCTTATGTAAGATATACCAGTATCTCTCAATTGATAGAAACAACCTCATTAAATCCACCCTGACAGTTGGGATGTGCCTACTACTTATCAGAGTTTTGAAATTTTCTTTGCTGGTAATTTTAAATTTGATTAAGTGATTTTATCCCATACTTTCAAATTTGTTTCTTTTACATTTTCCATAGCATGAGGAGGAACCACCTCAAAATATGAAACCACAACCAGGAAATGATAAGCCATTATCAAAAAATGCCCTTAAAAATCAAAGGAAACATGAAGCTAAGAAAGCTGCAAAGCAGGTATTTGGGGGTAATAATCTTTTGAATAAAAATCTATTAAATTAGCTTTAAGCCTTTAAAGTTTTGTCATCCTAAAGATTTGACTGGTATGTTGTGAAATAATATTGGAGTTAGACTTGCTTAGAATGTCTTTCTTGTGTTTGACTATGAATTTTTAAATATTCTTGTGTTTATAATAGGAGACTAAGGATACTGGATCTGATCTTAAAACCTGAAACCCTAATGGTATTATGTAGTACGAGTGGCCCGGTGCACAAAATTCGTACACGGGGAGGGATGTTCCCTTACCCCAGTCTGCACACTCTCCAGTCAGGGACCCCTTAGGGGGTTTCCAACTGCCAATCGGATATCTCTCTAACAACCCAGGACGTCTGGCTCCTAACTCTTCACCTGACTGCTGCCTGATCGCCCCTAACTGCCTCTGCCTGCCTGCAAGATTGCCCCTAACTGCCCTCCCCTGCCGGCCTGATATCACCCCCCAAAGCCCTCCCCTGCTGGCCTGATCTCATCTCTAACTGCTCTCCCCTTCCAGCCTGATCTTGCACCTAATGTCTCTGCCTGCCTAATCATCCCTAACTGCCCTCCCCTGCTGGCCTGATCTTGCCTCCAACTGCCCTCTTTTACTGACTTGATTGCTCCTAACTGTCTCTGCCTTAGCCCCCACCACCATGGCTTTATCTAGAAAGTGGCCGATAAACCTGGTCTAATTAGCATATTACTCTTTTATTAGTGTAGATAGATTATATAGGATAGGATTGCTTAAATGGGTGGGGAAGCCTTTTTTAGCAGGAGGAGATGCTCTTGGCAGAGAAAAATACATAATCCCTATATCTGGATTTATAGCCAGCCATATGCACTGTACTGCCAAACAGGTCATTAAAAAATTGAACTGTTCTCTTACACCTTACACCAAACAGCTGTTGCTTTTAAAACCTTTCCTTAGTCCTCACCTTAGGCTCTGCCTTCACAGTTCACTCACATTAGGTTCTGATTGGTTGGTTTCTATGCCAGTCAGTGTCAGATGCTCCACCTCCTAGGCAGCCATTGGCTCCTCACAGTTCACCCAGATTAGGTTCTAATTGGTCGGTTTCTATGCCAGTTAGCATCAGAAGCTCCACCTCTTTTTTTTTTCATATATTTTTATTGATTTTTTACAGAGAGGAAAGGTGAGGGATAGTTAGAAACATTGATGAGAGAGAAACATCGACCAACTGCCTCATGCACACCCCCTATTGGAGATGTGCCCACAACCAAGGTACATGCCCTTGACCAGAATTGAACCGGGGACCTTTCAGTCCACAGGACGACGCTCTATCCACTGAGCCAGACCAGTTTTGGCGGAAGCTACACCTCTTAAGCTCCTCACTGTTCACCCAGATTTGGTTCTGATTGGTCAGTTTCTGTGCCAGTCAGAGTCAAAAGCTCTCCCTCCTAGGCACTCACTGGCTCCTTGCACTTCACGCAGATTAGGTTCTGATTGGCTAGTTTTATGCCAGTCAGCGTCTCCGGGCCTGATCAGAGAAGCGGGGTTGATCAATAGCCACCCCAGGCTGCTGGCGAGCTGGCTGAACTACTGATCTCTGAGAGACGCAGCTTCTCTTTCTCTCTCGGCCTTACCAGTGGCCGCGTTAGCCACTGATCAGCCCCACTTCTCTCTCTCCCTGGAGAGGTCAGCAGTTCGGCTCACTCACCAGTCCCTACCCACAGAGCCTGCTGCGTGCACAGCCTGGCATTCAGTTGAGCCTTCGGTCGTTTTGGACGTTACGGACTCTTGGTTTTTATATATTAGGATAACATAACATTTAAAAAAAAAATTATATGTTACTTTAAATTCTAGATCTAGCAAAGTGTTCCCTATGACAAATATTATATAAAAACCTGTCTGTTGCCAAGATCGGTTTGGCTCAATGGATAGAGCGTCGGCTTGGGGACTGAAGGGTCCCGGGTTCGATTCCGGTCAAGGGCATGTGCCTTGGTTGCGGGCATATCCCCAGTAGGGGGTGTGCAAGAGGCAGCTGATCGATGACTCTCTCTCATCGATGTTTCTAACTCTCTCTCTCCCTTCCTCTCTGTACAAAAATCAATAAAATATATTTAAAAAATAAATAAATAAATAAATAAATAAATAAAAACCTTCTGTCTGTGTCATTGTACTGTGGTATTTTTTTTAAGCTGCATTATATTTATTGTGGTACAATGTCACATATCAGACCTTCAATTGAGATCCCTTCTTTATATAAAACATATCATAAAAGATAAAAAGTCATATTTTGGTTTCTTCCTGTTATATTCCAAGGCAATGTTTTCATTTTAGACAAATGAATTTTTCCTGCAGGAAGCAAGAAGTGACAAGAGTCTGGATTTGTCACCTACACCTACTTCACAGAGCTCAGCTCAAAATACTATCCCTCAGCCAACTACTGGAGACCCTGAGGTAGACAAAAAAATCAAGAACCTAAAGAAGGTGAGAATTCAATACAAGTCAAATGTGTTTATTGAAAGAAATGTGTGAGGATTCTATAAAGAACATAACATGTAGACACTTAAATAGGCATCTAAGAAGTTTATAGCAGTTCTTGTTGCTTTCTCACTATGCAATGCTGTCACAGGAATGGTGCTGATTTAAGTTCTCTTTACAATTATCTAATGCCTATTAGTCTTTTCATCATAGATTTTGAAGTGATAAATAATGTACATTTTTACAGAAATATGCTGAATACTTTTATACTTAGCATTTTATTAGACACTTATGAAACAAGTAGGAACAGATCTTTTTTTTATTTTTAAAGATAAGCAAATAGAAACAGAAAGAAGTTGATTAGCTTGTCAAATTGCATTCAGATGTGGAGGTAAAATCGGGTCTCTAAAGCCCTTCCCAGGTTGCTCTATTAATTTTCCCTTAAAGCCAAAGATGTCATCCTAGGTGCTACAATAAATGGTGAAGTTGGTGATATATTTACATACATCATGTACATACACACACACACACACACACACACACACACACACATATATATATATATATATATATATATATATATATATACACAAATATCAATATAACATTAATTAAAAGCTTGGAAAATATTTCACCAAATGTATATTCTTTTTCCCCCTGAGCTGGAGCATATTTTACCTATTTTTAAGTTTTTAATTAAAGTTGACAGTCAATATTATATTAGTTTCAGGTGTACAGCATAATGGTCAGATATTTATGTAACTTATGAAGTGATTTCTCACTGCCCAATAAGGCTGGTACCCACCTGCCACCATGCATACTTATTACAATACTAGAGGCCTAGTCCATGAGATTTATGCACGGGGGTGTGTCCCTTAGCCCAGCTTGCACCCTCTCCAATCTGAGACCCCTTGGGGGATGTCTGACTGCCCGTTTAGGCCCAATCCTAGTAGGGTCGGGCCTAAACTGCAGTCGAATATCCCTCTCACAATCCAGGACTGCTGGTTCCCAACTGCTCGCCTGCCTATCTTCCTGATTGCCCATAACCACTTCTGCTTGACAGCCTGATCATCCCCTAAATGCTCCCCTTCCAACCTGTTTGCCCCTAACTGCCCTTCCCTTGCAGTCCTGCTCACCCCTAACTGCCCTCCCCTGTAGGCCTGGGTCCCCCCCACCTTCCCTTTTCTGCATGCCCAGTCACCCCCAACTTCCCTCCTCTACCAGCCTGGTCACCCTAACTGCCCTCCCCTGCCAGCCTGGTCGTTCCTAACTGCCCTTCCTTGCAGATCTGGTCCCTCCCAACAGCCCTCCCCTGCTGGCCATCTTGTGGAAGCCATCTTGTGTCCATGTGGGGGCAGCCAGCTTGTGTGTTGTAGTGATGGTCAATTTGCATATTACTCTTTTATTAGATAGGATAGAGGCCTGGTACATGTGTGGGGGCCAGCTGGTTTGCCCTAAGGGTGTCCCAGGTCAGGGTGGGGGTTCCCTTCGGGCGTGGGGTGGCCTGGGTGAGGGGCCTGTGGTGGTTTGCAGGCCAGCCACACCCTCTGGTGACCCAAGCGGAGGCTGTGGTATCTGGTATTTATGTATCTTCTCTAATTGAAACTTTGTAGCCTTGAGCTGAGCCAAGGCTCCTGCTTGCTCCATGGCCACAGCCATCTTGGTTGGTTTAATTTGCATATTTGCTCCTGTTTGGCTTGTGGGTGTAGCAAAGGTACAATCAATGTGCATATTACTCTTTTGTTAGATAGGATTATTGACTATTTTCCCTATGCTGTATTTTACATCCCCCCATTACCCCTATATTGTTAACATATCTAATTTTGCATTTAATTTTAAAAAATAGTTTACCTTAGCATTTTAACAGACTATTCTTAATACCAATGTAAGATAATTGATTCTCCTTATTCAGGATTCACATTCATATAATTGAGTTGTTAATAAGGACATTTGCATTCTAAAATGACTTACTCTTCCTTCTTTTTGATATTTGTAGAAACTGAAAGCAATCGAACAACTGAAAGAACAAGCAGCAACTGGAAAACAACTAGAAAAAAATCAGGTCTTTTCTGCATTTTTAATTTGAGCTCATCGTCATGACTACTCTTCCTCTTTTTATTATAAGCAATTGTTTCTCTGGGTAAAAGAGCACCTAGGTTTTTAAGTCTCTGGGAAAATATATGCCATATATTTTTTTAATGTTTTTATTCTTAAACAGGGATAGAGGGAGACATGAAGTAGATCATGGTGACTGAGAAAGTCACTATTTCTAAGAGGTGTTTTAACCACTGTAAAACACTGGCTGGGCATCCAATCTGTATTTTAATGCTATTGCTGCTGAAAATTAGAGCATTTATTATGTTAGACAAATAGAAGATTCTCTTCTCTGTCTCAGATTGCACTGCTCTTTTTTTGCCCTTTCCTCTTCCTTTCCTCAGCACTTTTAAGCCCAGATGTAGACTGGAAATTTTACTGAACCAAAGGAATGCAGAAAGACAGCTTCTGGCCTAGGGGGTGTGACTCAGTGGTTGAGCATGGATCTGTAAACCAGGAGGTCCTAGTTCAATTTCTGGTCAGGGCACATGCCAGGATTGTGGGTTCGATCTCCAGTAGGGGGCATGCAGAGGCAGCAGATCAATAATTCTTTCACCATTAATGTTTCTATCCCTCTCCCTTCGTCGCTGAAATAAATAAAAATATATTGGGGAATAAAAAGGACTTAAAAACAGCTTCTTTCCTTTGCCCCCGTGATTCATGCCAGATTACAAATTAGAAAATGTTTCCAATCTACACTTCTATTTTATTTTTGTTTTTCAAATTGATTTTCAGAGAGGAAGGAAGAGGGAGATAGAAACATCAGTCATAAGAGAGAATCATTGATTAGCCACCTCCTGCATGTCCTCTACTCTCATGTGCCCTGACTGGACTTCCTCGTTCATAGGTCAACACTTAACCACTGAACAACACCAGCTGGGCATCCGATCTGTATTTTTAAATCTGTTTACCAGTGGATCTGATAAACTGTCAGCTATATTCTATCTAGATATTTTCTTCTTTGCTTTTCGCTATGGAGCCAATAATTATCTTATTTCCTTTTTAATAACTTCATTGTTTTAAACTTTTCTAGTTGGAGAAAATTCAAAAAGAGAAAGCCCTTCTCCGGGAGCTGGAAGATTTGGAATTGGGTATTTAAAGAGTCACAAAAAGGAAGTTGGTTACCAGAAATCAGTGGGAACTCATCTTCTGTTACATTCGTTGGTGTATACGGATTGTTCATGTCCCCTCATTTAACATTCATCTCTAATTTTAACCATTTTCCAAAGTTCTGCATATGTGTATAATTATTTAATAATGCCTATTAAAATTGATTTTTGTGTTTTGCATTTTAGATCATGTTAACATGAAATTAAAAAAAAGACACATGAACTTTCTAGTTAAGTTTGACATACTAAAAGACCAATGTCATTGTTTTTTAGGAGGAGATAGTATTTACCATATAAATGAATAAAGACATTTTAAATTAAATCAATTTTGGCTTTGTTATAAGTTTTTCACTCAAGAAATTCTTTATTAATTTAGAAAGCAAGTTTAGGAAAATTGCCTTTTAATATATAATATGGCTTTTTTCATCCTAAAATATTATCAAAACTTTAAATAAATCCTTAAAAATCAGGTTGTAGTAAATGAGTTAAATTATTCATATTATTTATATTATCTGAAGTAAAGTTTTTCTTAGTTCTAAAGTAAATATAGACTTTAAAAATAGAGTAAAATATTTCATTTTGGTATTTCAAATAATAAACCTAGAGATCTGAGGATGAGGTAAATGTGTTCCAAACATGGACTGTGATTGTTTTGGTTGTATTTTCATATAATGAAAAAATGATATAATGATAATGCAAGACATTTGATTATCAGAACCAATTCATATTGCAATTATTTTAATCAGGTTTACATTTGAAATTATTTTTATTTCATTTTCATTGATATAGGTTTTCATTTTCCAGGGCTAATATTTAATCTGGTATATAAAGGAAAAGAATCCAGAAACACCTTGAGAGACACACACAAACAGATGACTGAGTCTGCTGATGCCCCAAAGCTTCTATCAAGCTTTGGTCAAGATTGAATGCATTAAATTTGAATGGCATTTCAAATGTTTTGTGTGTGGAGTGTATGTGTGCATATATGTACATATAATTGCTTTCAACATTTATTTCTGATATTAGAAATTGACACAGATTACTTTTATAATATATTACTTTAAAAATATTTTTCTAATAAAATGTTAAATAATGCATTCTGAAACAGTGTAATGTTTTTTTTTTTTGGCTTAGAAGTCTAACAGTTGTTTTAATTAATTCCCATTTATAGCACAGTTTATAGTAAACTTATTAATCATTTATAAAATGTTTATCTCAGAGATTTTCACCAGAGTTACTGTTACCACCAAAATTCTTAGACTCATTTTTTTTAAAGAATTTTCTTTATTTCTGTAATGATTTAATCCATTTAATTATTTGTAAAAAATTACTGAGCACACATCAGTTTAAAAATCACTGAAGTGCCGAAGCCACTTTGGTTCAGTGGATAGAGCATCGGCCTGCAGACTGAAAGGTCCCAGGTTCGATTCCGGTCAAGGGCATGTATTGTACCTTGGTTGCGGGCACGGCCCCCGCAAGAGGCAGCTGACCGGTGTTTCTCTCTCATCGATGTTTCTAACTCTCTACCCCTCTCTCTTCTTCTCAGTGAAAAATCAATAAAATAAATTTTTTAAAAATCACTGAAGTGCTCTTTGACTACCTATTTTGTTTGGTTTTTCTTTTAAATACATTATCCTCTGGGAATAAAAGCAAGGTGGTAAAATAAAAAAGTGTATGGCAATGAAAGTCTGCTTGAAATGAGAATTAAGTGGGATACGTTCTTAGACCCCCAGTGGATGCCTGAAACTGCAGATAGTACTGCATATACATTTTTTTCTACACATACATACCTGTGATAAAGTTTAATTTATAAACTAGGCACAGTAAGAGATTAACAATAATAATAAAATAGGACAACTATAACAATATACTGTAATAAAAATTACATGAATGTCGTCTCTTTTCCTCTGATAATCAATCTGATAACTAAGACAGCCATTAAGTGGCTAACGGTTGGGTAGATTATAGTATATACTTTGTGGATACACTAGACCAGGGGTGTCGAACTCAATCAGAGAAGGGGCCAAAATCTAAAATCCAGCCTAAATCGCGGGCCGAATGGTTTACTGAACAGTCATAAACTGACAATGTTAACCAGAAATGTGAATTTAAAATGAGTGGAACAATCTTTTCCTTAACAGTGCTGTTAACCAACTCAAATGCTATCAAGCAAAACAGTAATATTGGTATCAAGCAAAACAGTAATATTGGAATGTACCTAAAATGCTCATTGTTTTGTTTTCTGGCTAGATGTCTGACACCGTTTTCCCCGGATCAATGAGTCAATGTTCAGTTTTATTTCTTGGGCTGTAGCAACCCGCAAAACAGCATGGAGGTTGTCATCGGTAATGTGTGATCTGTGCTTGTTTTTGTTCAGATTCATTATTGAAAACATCTGTTCACAAAGATAGGTGCTCCCGAACATGGATAGTATACGGGCAGCATGAAGTCGGAGCTCTGGCATTGAGTCAGGGGGCAGTAGAGGGTAGAAGTCCTCAATTTCAACATCCTAAAACCTTGATTTCAGGCCACTGTCAGACTGAAGCTCGATTATCTCCATCTGAAGGTGATGGGACACATTGTTGACATCAACTGTAAAAGGATTGGCAAAGATGTCAAAGCCTGAGTGCTGTGTTCTAAAGTCAGAGAAGCGCCGCTCAAATTCACTTAGTAAACGGCTAACTTTGGTAGCCAGCCGACTGCAAGGAAAAGTACCAGAAATAGTGGTTGAGATACTCAAACAAACGGGAAAGTGGGCAAGATTGTCCTGTTCCAGTTGGGACTTCCATAGTTGAAGTTTACGCTGGAATGCTGTGATCATGTCAGACATCTTCGTGATGACTTGTTTGCGTCCCTGCAGCTTCAGATTCAGTTGGGCGAGATGCTCACATATGTCACACATCATGGCAAAATCACATAGCCAGGCGGGATCCGACAGTTCAGGCAAGGGCTTTCCTTTACTTTCCATGAAAAGAGCGATTTGTTCTCTGAGCTCAAAAAATCTTTTGAGGACTGCGCTCTTGCTCAGCCATCTTACTTCTGTGTGGTATGGCACGTCTCCATGCTCTGCACCCACCTCCTGTAAAAACTGCTGGAACTGGCGATGATTCAGGCCACGTGCCTGTATAAAGTTAATAGTTTTAATGACTGTGGTCATTATGTCATTCATGTCCAGAACTTTTCCACACATAGCCTCTTGGTGGATAATGCAATGATAAGTAATCAAGGTTGTGTGGCAGTGACTTTTTTGCATTCTTTCCTTCATTAGTCCAACCAAGCCTTTCTTTTCTCTGCACATTGAAGGTGCGCCATCGGTAGTTAGCCCCACCAACTTTTCCCAGGGTAATTTAAAATTATTTATAGATTTCTCCACAGCCTCAAATATATCTCTACCAGTCGTCGTCCCATGCATGGCAGCTACATCCAAAAGTTCCTCAGTGACAGAGAGGTCGGTCTTCGTAGCACGTATAAAGATGGACAGCTGCGCTGTATCAGTGTTGTCTGTGCTTTCATCAATAGCAAGTGAAAAAGCGAGATAACTGCATGCCTGTTCGGCCAGCTGTGATGATAGATTTCCTGAGAGTTCTTGAACTCTATCTGCAATGGTGTTTCTTGACAAACTGACATTTTGAAAACTCTGTATCTGGTCTGGGCATACTTGCTCACACACTTTTAGCATGCATTGCTTCAAAAAGGCACCCTCTGAAAAACACCTTGAAGTACGGGCAATTTCTTCAGCCACTATAAAGCTTGCTTTCACTGCAGCATCATTTTTCGCTGTAGCCTTTGTAAACATTTGCTGCTGTGATTGTAGTTTGCCTTTTAGTTCTTTAACAATTTTATGCTTTTCTTCCAAAGTATATTTGCCATACTTAACATTATGTTTGGTGTCAAAATGACGACATATATTGTACTCTTTCATCACCGACACTGTCTCATAACACAATATACACACTGGTTTGCCCTCTCTAAGCACAAACATGTATTCATTTTCCCATTTGTCATTAAATTGTCTGCCTTCACCGTCAACTTTTCTTTTCCTGGACATTTTGGGATCAATATTGGCAGTAAAAGATGTAGTTTATTGGAAATCTGCGTTAGAAGGAAAAAGTTGAAAACTGCACAGGGATAGCTTGATTTGGCAGATGGAGTGGAGAAAAAAAAAGTCAGTCAATAAATGCCTGGCTGGGTACAGATAGCAGATTCTGTTGCGATTTTTATGCCTGCACTTTATGCCAGGAACTGGCAGCTTCTGCTGTGTATTTTTTATGCCCGCACACTCACTCTCTCCTCTGCTCTGCCACCCGCACAACCACATCGGATGCTGGACTATAGGTCACGCCTCCTGAATCTCGCGTGACTTGTTATCTATGCACATGCGTAATAGATAGCAAGTACGGCGGCCAGTGACGCGGCCGGCGAGATCACAAGCCTCCTATGTCACCGCGCGTCATTGTGATGGAACGCAGCGGAGTGCAGTGATGACAGCGCGGTGCGGGCCACATTGCAAGGCCTGGCGGGCCGGATTTGGCCCGCGGGCCTTGTGTTTGACATGTGTGCACTAGACAGAGATGACTCACAACCCAGGCAGATTAGTGAGATTTCATTACCCTACTCACAGAGTGGTATGCAGTTTAACACTTGCGAATGGTTTATTTTTGGAATTTTCCATTTAATATTTTCAGAACACAATTGACCACAAGTAACTGAAACCACAGAAAGAAAAACTGAATAAGGGGGGCCTGGTAGTGTGGCTCAGTGGTTGAGTGTTGACCCATGAACCAAGAGGTTACTGGTTCAATTCCCAGTTAGGGCGCATGCCTGGATTGCAACTCAATCAATAGGAGGCATAATATAGATGACATTTTTCATTTATCAATGTTTTTTTAAAAAATGTTCCTCTCTAAAATCAATAAGACATTTTTTTAAAAAAACACTAAGGGCAGACTCCTGTATTTCTTTGATTTAGTAAAATAGTAAAGGTAGAAATATTAAGAAAAAGTTTTATATATATATTTATTTCAGAAGGGAAGGGAGAGGGAGAGAGGAAACATCAATGATAAGAATCATTGGTCTGCTGCCTCCTGCATGCCCCGCCCCCAAGTTCCCCAGCCACAGGATCAAGCCCCCAATCTGGGCATGTGCCCTGACCAGAAAACAAACCATGATAAAAGAGGTTCATAGATCAACACTCAACCTCTGAGTCACACCAGCCAAGCAATAGTTCTTATTCGAGGGAGAATTCAAAGCAGTTTCTGGGTTCCTCCACCCATGTAAATACATTAATATTCAGAGCAGAGCAAACGGCAAGAATTAAGT